ATTCTTTTTATACTTTTCTGACTTGGAAAACACGTATTTTTTCTTCACCCCTCTCTCATTATACACATTATATTTAGTGTGTTTTCTAGTGCTTCCCACTGATGATAAGTGGAATCACATGGGCAAGATAAAATACTTACCTTTTGGTCAATATTTTAGTCACACCTTAAGCAACAATGAGCAGTCACCAAATTTGAATGCATTCGGGAATCCATCATTCTCAAACCATTTTGGTATCTATGTTATATATTCTTCTTATTATATTTTTTGAAACAGGGTTTCTCTATGTAGCCCTGGCTATCCTGGAACTCCCTTTGTAGACCAGGCTGGCCTTGAACTCACAGAGATCTGCCTGCCTTTGCCTCTTGAGTGCTGGGATTAAAGGTGAGCGCCACCAAACCTGGCTTTAAAATTTTTTTAAGGATTTATTTTATGTAAATGAGTGTTTTGCCTGTGTGTATGTGTAGCACATGTATCTGATGCCCTCAGGTCAGAAGAGAGCACCAATGTCTGGAACTGGAGTTACGGATGGGTGGGAGCCACCAACCGAACTTGGTTTCTCCTCAAGAGCAACTCTGAACCACTGAGCCCTCTCCCCCGTCATATCCCCACCCTTATTTTTCTTGAGACAGGGTCTCCTTATGTAGCTCTGGCTAGTCTAGAGCTTGATGTATAGATGAGGATGGAACTCCGAGGTCTGCCTGCTCTGGCTTCCTAGCGCTGAGATTAACGTGTATCAACCACCAAGCTGCACACTCTTAATCTAACCTTGACTGATACATAAGCAACAGTGGTGCTACAATACCCATGTGGTGTCTTAGTGACCGAGTGCCGTGACCACAGCAGCTGCTAGAAAAGAAAGCATTTAATTGAGGCTTGCTTACAGGTTCACAGGTTTAGTCCACTATCATCATGGTGGGGAGCATGGAGCTGGAGCAGTAGCTGAGAGTTACATCCTGATCCAGCAGCAGCATGAAGAGAGCCTGGGCCAGCCTGGGCTTTTGAAATCTCAAAGCCCACCTCCAGTGTTAACTTCCTCCAACAGGACCACACCTACTCCAACAAAGCCACATCTCCTAATCCTTCTAATCCTTCTATATAGTGCCATTCCCTGGTATCTAAACATCAAGTATATGAGCCTCTTGGGGCCATTCTTATTCAAACAGCCACACATGTCATTTAGTCAGTGTTGGGAACGTCTTCAAGAGCCTTATCTACTTTAACTTGGACTCCTTTATTCTTCTGTGATAAGGTGCTAATGTGTGAGAATATCTAGCTTTATATTTATTTTCCATACCAGACTTAAAATATGACTAAAATGCTTTTATTTTTCCAGACAGAGTAAATCTAAGCCTGATATTACTGACATGGTTCGCTCCTCCACAATCACGGTATCAGACAAGGCTCACATTTTATCCATGCAGAAGTTTGGGCTGAGAGACACAATTGTGAAATCACATCTCTTGCAGAAGGAAGAGGATTATACCTACATCCAGAACTTCAGGTAGTTAACCAGGTTCTCCACAGTTTATTTCTCTTGTGACAGAGTGTCACAGTGTAGTCCTGGCCGGCCTGGAACTTGTCATGTAGACCAGGGTGGCTTCAAACTCACAGAGGCTGCCTACCTCTGCTTATGGAATGCTGGGATTTAAGGTGTGTGTTAATGGTTTTTCAAGGCAAAATGACCATTCTGCTCTCTAGAATTTAAGCATCTGCCACACATACTGTGGATTTGGAAGCAAATTATTCTGTTTGGTATTTTTCCTTTTCAAAAAGAATCATTGTGTTTACTTTTTTTCCCCTATGTTATCCAGCTTGGAACTTAAAGGATCAAGTCATCCTCCTGCCTCAGCTGTACAAATGCTGGGTTACAGATACGTGCTGCTGTGCCCACTCTAGTTGCTCTTCGTGGGCAGGTGTCTGAACATGCTGTGTGTGCTCTGGGCAGGCTCTGTGGGTGATGGGCTGAAGTGATTGGCACAGCGTGCAGGTGGCTGCAGAGTATTGACAGGGATAAACGAGCACAGAACAAAGAGCAGTATCCCGAGTCTCAGCACCTGCCTGAGGTTTTCTATTCCCATGCTCACTCCTGGCCTTTGAAGAAAATCATTGAAAATGAAATTCGTTGATGTTCAGTAATCCTGTTAGCTGACCTCACTGAACATTAAGTGAATTAAGCTTTCAGAGTTCTGCTGGAGCTTTAAACATCACTGCACTGGGACTGTAAGGTAAAATAACATTGTTTCTAGGCATATGGTGAATACATACCCTCTGACCATTGCCGCCACTTGCTTGCTGAAAGGAATTACTAAGCACTTACCATCTTTTTCCTTTCAGTAGTACCCACAGGGCAGCGTCATTTTGTGGCTTATGACTCCCAATGGCTATTTAAGGGAAGGAGGAATGTTCAGAGCAGGCTGGCCTGCGTGCTTATTTATTTATTTGTTTGTTTATTTATTTATTTGAGATAGTAGCTGTTGTGGCTGTAAACTCAGTCTGCAGCCCAACCTGGTCTCGAACTCACTGCAGTCCTTCCTCACTGTTTCAAGTGCTGGGATTATGAGCATGTGCTACCACACCTGGTTCAGAGGAGATCTATATTGTTTGCAGTTATCACAAAGGCAGGCTGCTAGCCACCCATTGGTGCCATAATTATCAGTCTAGGTTAAATAGGACATTTCTTATGTGTTTTCTTTTCTTTTTTTTTTTTTTTATACTTTATTTTTTTGAGACAGGGTTTCTCTATATATTCTTGGCTGTCCTAGAACTAGCCTTGTAGACCAGGCTGACCTAGAACTCACAGAAATCCACCTGCCTCTGCCTACCGAGTGCTGGGATTAAAGATGTGTGCCACTACCACCCAACCTTTTCTTATGTCTTAAAATACCATTCCACAGAGACTGAACTCCAGACTTACTGTTTCCAGATCACTGATTGAGTCTCTTTGGTGACAGGTTTTTTGTGGGTACTTACAATGTGAATGGACAGTCCCCCAAAGAGTGCCTCCGGCCCTGGCTGAGCCACAGCACCCAGGCCCCAGATGTGTACTGTGTAGGGTGAGTGCTCCTCTTCTCTTGTTACCAGTTCTTTTATATATATATAATTTAGTGTTATGTGCATTGGTGTAAAGGTGTCAGGTCCCCTGAAACGGAGTCACAGACAGTTGTGAGCTGCCATGTGGGTGCTGAGAATTGAACCCCGGGTCCTCTGGAAGAGCAGCCAGTGCTCCTAATCTCCTAACCCCTAAACCATCTCTCCAACCCCTTGTTACCAGTTCTTAAGAATAGAGAGCCACACTGAAGGAATGGGGACATGACTTGAGCTGAGTCTTCATAGCAGCGAAGGAATGGAAACATGAGCTGAGCTCAGGGACAGCTGCTTCTCTGTTTGATGTTCTTCCTGATAAGCAGAGGTCTGGCCACGTACTGTGCTTGGTATTTAAATGCTAGTATTAATTTAGTATAACCTTCTGTTAAAAATTGGTGTGTCATTACTTGACATTCAACGCATTTTTGGTCACAAAGCAAAAAATATTTTTGCCAGAAAAGGAAGGTTCCCTAAAGTCTCATCAGTTAGTTGATTTTGTGTATGTGTGCATGGAGTGTGTGTGCATGCTTGGGTATGGGGACCAGAGGACAATCTGTCATTCCTCAGGGGTGTGTGTGTGTGTAAGACAGACAGACAGACAGATAGACAGGATCTCTCTCTAGTTTGGGGGGTTCATTCGGGTTAGACTGGCTCACCAGAAAGCCCCACGAGTCTGCCTGTTTCTGCCTCTCAGCACTGGATGTGGATCACCATGCTTGGCCTTCATTTTCTTTGTTTTTTGTTTTTATTTTTGAGACAGGGTCTCACTATGTAACTTTGGCTGGCCTAGAAGTTTGCTATGTAGACCAGGTTGGCCTTGAACTCACAAAGATCTGCATGCTTCTGCCTTCCTTTGGAGTATTGATAGTAGTGGTGTGAGCTACCATGCCTGGCCCTCTGTTTGGCTTTTTTAACATGGATTCTGGGGATTCAGGTCCTCGTGCTTGCAGGGCAAACACTTTACTGACCGAGTCTTCATCCTCGCACCTTGTTTTTGAGCTTTGAGAGAGGATTTGACTACGTAGCGCTGGCTGGTTTAGAACTTGCTGTGTGGACCAGGCTGACCTCACACTTGTAGCAACCCTCCTGCCTCTGCTATATAAGTGCTGGCTTTATAGGTGTGCACCATCACACCTGGCTTGGTTTTATTTTGTTTTGCTTTTGCAATGCAGTGGATTGAATCCAGGGCATTAAAATGTGCGAGGCAAGTGCTTTCCTACTGAGCCCCACACTCAGCTCAAGCATTAATGTCTCCACACTCTCCTCTCGTCACAGTCCAGGGTACAGTTAGTGGGAGGGCCAGTTAAAGAAGCCCGAACGATGTATTGGAAAGAGCTAGAACTTGGGGTTTCTATAGACCAAACAAAACAAAACCAAAAAATAGATCTGAATTGGAACTCCAATTTGAAACTTAATCCTTACTGACCTAACGATTCTAGATGTAAAACTGGGGGGCAGGAGGTGCCTCCAGCCAGTTCAGTGGCTAGGTTGTCGAGAGGAAGTGAACTCATGTTCAGAGGAGCACCTGGGAAGTCTGTTTGTTTTTAGCCCCTCCGGAGGGCCCCACAGTTCAGCTGGAAAGCTGGGCCCGGAGCACCCGAGCAGACTTGGGGTGTATTCCTGCATGTGGTCTTTCTCTCTGGTTCACTCTTGCCTCTCCACATAGGTTCCAGGAGCTTGATCTGAGTAAAGAAGCCTTTTTCTTTCATGACACCCCAAAGGAGGAAGAGTGGTTTAAGGCGGTGTCAGAGAGCCTTCACCCAGGTGCCAAATACGCAAAGGTGAGCGAGGAGCCCGGCGGGTGGGCGGGGACTTTGTCACTTTTTGGTGACCCTTCGGCAGAAGCCATTCCTAGGCAGCCTCAGATTCCTCCAGAGGGCCTGTCTGAGTGGAAAGGTGCAGAGTGCCGGCGCCTGTAAGTGGTTTAGGGTTCCATGTAGCATGCTCAGTGAGCGGGACAGACCACCTTGTGTCCTGGCCTGGAGGAGGAGGTATGTTAGTACTTCAGCTAGCTCCCAGGACAGACCACCTTGTGTCCTGGCCTGGAGGAGGAGGAGGAGGTGTGTTAGTACTTCAGCTAACTCCCGGGACAGACCACCTTGTGTCCTGGTCTGGAGGAGGAGGTGTGTTAGTATTTCAGCTAGCTCCCACACCACATTTCCCTCGGGACATTCTGGTTTCCAGCTTCTGTCTGCGGCAGCCGACACTTGAGAATTGGGCTCTGTGTTCCAGGTGAAGCTCATCCGGCTGGTTGGGATTATGTTGCTGTTGTACGTCAAACAGGAGCACGCAGCGTATATCTCAGAAGTGGAAGCCGAGACCGTGGGGACAGGAATCATGGGGAGGATGGTGAGTCCCTGGTAATGTTTTGCACATTGAGGACCTTGACCCCTAAGGTTTTGACTCGGCCTCTCAGGGTGCAGGAACCATACAAACCCACCTGAGATGCTGCTCCTGCAGGACGAGCTGTACCCACAAACAGGGCTGGACTGAGGTTTAGAAATCCAGCCGGTGCATTTCTCCATCCTGGTAGTAGTCAGGGCTGGAGCCCTGTTGACATGCCTATAGTATAGTACGGTACAGAACCTGTTTGGGCCGCCTAGGGAAACAGAGGCCTGTAGGTTTGCAGTTTCCTCTTCTTGAGGCTCCTGGAGTCCTGCCCTTAGATTCCCCGGCAAGAGCCGAGTTGGACATGTGGCTGGCACACCAGTGATACAGAGGCGGACACTGGCCCCAGCTTTCTGTAAACAGCCAGTCACTTTGCTTGGGGGTTTGTGTTCTTATCTGTAAGATATAGACAGTAGCTCCGTAAGGCCCTGCTGAAGACACAAAACAGGTGGAAGTCTGAAGGTTTCAATGGCTGAAGAGGTCCTTTCCCTAGGGTAACAAAGGAGGGGTGGCGATCCGCTTCCAGCTGCACAACACGAGCATCTGCGTTGTGAATTCCCACTTGGCAGCCCACACAGAGGAGTACGAGAGGCGGAACCAAGACTACAAAGACATCTGTTCCCGGATGCAGTTCTCCCAGGTGGACCCGAGCCTCCCCCCTCTCACCATTAGCAAGCACGAGTGAGTCGTCCGAGTTTCTCCCTCCTCAGTTGCCTCGTGTAACTGCTAGGCTCTGGGTCCTTCATTGTGCTGGGGAGGGGAATGCTGGAGGCTGGGTATCTGCCCGCTCTTCATTGTCTCTTGGAAATTCTTGGCTTTCTATCTTACCATCCGGAAGACCCCTAGAACCTTGTCAAGCATCCCTTGTCCCTGGAGAGGCATGGGGTTTATCTAGAAGTCTGTCTTGATTGCGCGCAGGAGCAAAGCAGCCAGAGAGCTTGCGTCCCACGCAGTTTGGAGTACGGTTTTAGGTTCCCACATCCGCTCTCCCAGAGCATGTGCAGTCGAGAGTTGGACCTGTGCTTGTTGCCCGCGCTTGCTCATTCCTTGATTCTGCTTGTCAAAACCATAGTTGCAACTGCACAGAGCATATTGTGCTAGTTTTTGGTCATTCTCTGGATTTCATTTATCTCTAAAACTCGCTGTTTTGTCTGATTTCAAAGCCTTGGAATTTCAGACTTTATGGTCACAACTGAGATTTATGGATCCTCTTTTAGAAAAGGAGGAAGCTGCTGAGGTCCTGTCCGAGGCAGTGGAGCTGTCTCTGGCTTGTTGGTTTTCTGGAAGCTGACTGGATGGCTGTTCTTCTCCAGGGTCCCTTGAAGGGAGCGTGTCTCTTCCTCTGTGAGGCTGCAGCTGGCATGGCCTTTGCCTGCTTTTAGCCTGAGCATGCATTTGTTGGGGGAGGGGGCATGCTGCGAGGCGGATTATTTAGTGACAGGGATGTTGACTTCATGGCATATCTGATGTCATCAGGGAGCAGCAGCAGGTGTAATGAACCGTGTGGCACCGCTCTTCCTGGGAGCGCAGAGTACGCCAGTGATGTGGTGGGCAAATTCAGGCCTTACTGTTGATGTGAGCTTTGTTTCAGACAGTTCTCCCTTGAAAAATGTCAAGAGTGTGTTTGTGGGCTAGAGTGTAACCCGGGTGCCTGGGTGACCGGCAGGATTTATACTTTTTTATTTTTTTCAAACCACTTCCTGCTGTTCAATAGACACTTTATCTTGCTTCTAGACATCCTTTTTTTGTTTTGTTTGTTTGTTTGTTTGTTTGAGTCAGGGTCCACTATAGGGCCAAGCTACTTTTTAACTGACTATGCTCCTGTATTAGCTGGTGAGGACTGGGATTACAGGCATGTGTCGTGACACCAGCAAACAGGCATTGCTTTTAGATCTGTCTCTTCAGCCTTACCTGAATAAAACCGTCAAGAGCTCCAGGCCGTTTGTGGTGAGCGTGGGTCAAGACAATTGATGTGTTAGTAAGTGGGTGAGGAGGAAGATTCCGTCACAGCCAGGTCTCTGTCCCACGCCGGGGCTTCTGTCTGATGCGCCCTGGACAGGAAGGGTTAAAGCCTCTCCTAAACCCTGCGCCTTTGTGCTCTGTCCTCACAGTGTGATCTTGTGGCTGGGGGATCTCAACTACAGAATAGAAGAGCTGGATGTGGAAAAGGTGAAACTGCTCATCGAAGAGAAGGCCTTTCAAACCCTGTATGCGTACGACCAGGTACAGATGGGCACCCTGTCTTCCTCAGGTAGCTGCTCCTCTGCTGTGGGAGCCCAGAGCCCAGTTTCTCCTTCCCCAGCTTGGGCGGCTTCCCTAAGGACCAGTGTTGTCCACTCGTGCCTGCATTCCATCTGCGTTCCTCTCTCTTGCCTCTGTCCTGGAAGCACGTGTGTCCCTTGGAGTAAGAACACGGTCTTTGTCATCCACTCAAGAGACCCGGGAGTTAGGGCCGAAGGGCTTTACGTGACTGTTTTTGTTTCTGCCTTCAGTAAGGAAACTGCTTGGTGTATTTGAGGTGACTTACTAATTCTCTTCAGTAATGAGTCCCCTGCTCCTGCCTCCTCCTCCTCCTCACCAGTTTTCTCCAGGGTGAGCGAACTTTCTAAGCTCTTCTCTTCACTCTGCTGGAGTCAGTGCTGCGGCCTGCGGTTTCCCAACATTCTTTGATGTAGCATGTCTTTCTGAGAGCCACAGCCTCTTCACAGGCTGCGGGAAGCCTGCGCCTGACTTTCTCTGCTGCTCTCCTCAGTGGACTTGAGACTTCTTAGGTGTTCAGAACTGTCCAGGATGCTGAAGCCCTCTTTCTTGTCCGCCTGAGCCCTCCTCTGCTTCTTGACAACCTTGCAATCACTAGGTCTGAATCCTTTGATTCTCCTTCTCTTTCCCAGCACACAATAGTTGAAGGAGAAGAATCTTAACTTTGCAGGCTCTCTTCATGAAATCATTTCTTTATTGACTCATGGAATAGGAATAGTTTTCTCATGAGTCCTTCCCCTTTGAGGTAGGGCTTGGGATGTGGATTGATTTCATGGTCTCCACCAATCCCAGGTTTGACCTTTTATTCTGAGGGCTTTTCTCTCCCACTCTTTTGTGTAGCTGAAAACCCAGGTGGCTGCCAAGAGCGTCTTTGAAGGCTTCACGGAGGGAGAGCTTACCTTCCAGCCCACTTACAAGTACGACACCGGCTCCGACGACTGGGATACCAGGTGGGTCGGTCAGAGCTCACCTCGGGGGTTAAGGAGCTAGAAACCCAGGAGTCCTGGGAAGCACTAGCCCTTGTGGACCCGAAGAGGATAAGGTCCTTGTGACTCTCCAGGTTTCCCACTCTGGCCAAACATTTCCTCTTGGTATCTGCTCTCTAATCCTACTGCCTTTTCATATTATTTCTTTCTGACTTAGGCATTGATCCGTCATGGGTCTTGACACTGAATGGCTTTTCTTTTCTTTTTCTGTTTGTTTGTTAGTTTGTTTTGAGACAAGGTTTCTCTGAATAGCCTCAGCTATCCTGGAACTTACTCTGTTCACCAGGCTGACCTCGAACTCACAAAGATCTGCCTGCCTCTGCCTCCCGAGTGCTGGGATTAAAGGTGTGTGCCACCACTACCCAGCTATCTTTTCCTTTTAAAAAGATGTATTTATTTTTATTTTATGTGTATGAGTGGTTTTGTCTATATATGTGTATGTGTACTGCATGCTGGCCTGTGCCTGCAGAAGCCAGAAGAGGGCACCAGATACCATGGAACTGGAGTTACAACTCCAGCTGGTTGTAAGCCACCATGGGGGTGCTAAGAACCAAACCCAGGTCTTCTACAAGAACCCCAAGTGCTCTTTCTTAACTGCCGAGTCATCTCTGCAGCCCACCAGTTGACTTTGAGCTGTGTTCAAGGTCATATGATGATTCCAGCTAAACTTGTGCTTGGTCTTAGCATACTAGTTAATATTTCTTTATAGTGCTCACTGTATGCCACAGACTCCTGAAAATATTTGATTTGTATATATCATTTTAACCTGTTAAGAACTTGTTGAAGGGGCTGGAGAGATGGCTCAGCAGTTAAGAGTACTGAATGCTCTTCCAGAGGACCTGGGTTCAATTCCCAGCACCCACATGACAGCTCATACCTGTCTATAACTCCAGTTTCAGGGGACCCACACCCATGGCAAAAACACCAATGCACATAAAAAATAAAAAAATATATATGTATTTAAAAAAAAAAAAAAAAGAACCTGTTGAGGTAGATATGGTTTATGAGACTGGGAACTGAGGTAGTCCAACAGCCTCCCAAACCTGCAAGTGGTAGAAACAGGATTTGAACTTGGGCAGCAGAAAGTCACAGCCTGTGCCTTTAACCACTTTATTTTTTGGAGCTGAGGACCGAACCCAGGGCCTCGTGCTTGCTAGGCAAGCGCTCTACCACTGAGCTAAATCCCCAACCCAGTAAAGCAAATCTTTTTTTTTTTTTTCAAGACAGAGTTTATCTGTAGCTTTGTGCCTTTCCTGGAACTCATTTTGTAGCCCAGGCTGGCCTCGAACTCACAGAGATCCGCCTGGCTCTGCCTCCCGAGTGCTGGGATTAAAGGAGTGTGCCACCACTGGCCCAGCGTAACCACTCTCTTTGAAGGACTATAAAGTGCTTGTTCTCCTGTTGCTTTTTCACTTTCTCTCCATCCGCACACGATGCTATAGAGCAGGGACTTAGCTGGAACAGTTTTCTGCTGGCACTTTCATAGTTGCTGTAGACGATACCCACAGGGACACCTTGTTCCTCCATGGGCCTAATCATCCGCCATCCTCGATCCCCTGGCTGCATGGACACAGAGGCTCTGCCTCATTGCTCCTGCCTGAGCCATGGCACACACTAAGCAGTGGGTCCAGCTGTTTCTGTGAGCCCACCGGCATGGACTTTGTATTTCAGTGAGAAGTGTCGTGCTCCTGCCTGGTGTGACCGAGTCCTCTGGAAAGGAAAGAACATCTCTCAGCTGAGTTACCAGAGCCACATGGCCTTGAAGACCAGTGACCACAAGCCTGTCAGCTCAGTGTTTGACATCGGGGTAGGTGGGCAGCTTGTTTTTATACCAGGGTTGCTCTTTGTCCTTCCGACCTCCTGCTCTCAGCCTTGAGTGTGAGGAAGCTCTTTTTAAATTTTGTTTAAGGTCCTGGAGAGATGGCTCAGATACTAAAGGCCTTTGCAGCTCTTCGAGAGGATCCAAATTTAGTTCCTAGCACTCATGTTGAGCTGCTCGGGACCACCTGAGCAGGTGGATCCGGTTCCAGGGGATCCAGTCGCCTCTGCAGGCATTGCATGCATGTGGTACACAGACATACATGCAGGCAAAACACTGTCTTAGTCAGGGTTACTATTGCTGTGATGAAACACCATGACTAAAGCAACTAGAACGGAAAGGGTTTATTTGGCTTATGTTCATCACGGAAGGAAGTCAGGACAGGAACTCAAGCAGGGCAGGAACCTGGAGGCAGGAGCTGATGCAGAGGCCATGGAGGAATGCTGCTTGCTGGCTTGTTCCTCATGGCTTACTCAGCCTGCTTTCTAATAGAACCCAGAACCACCAGCTCAGGTGTCCCCACCCCCAATGGGCTGGCACTCCCCCATCAATCACTAGTTAAGAAAATGTCCTACAGGCTTGCCTGCAACTCCATCTTATGGAGGCATTTTCTTAATTGAGGTTCCTTCCTCTCAGATGACATTAGCTTGTGTCAAGTTGACATAAAACTAGCCAGCACACACCCATATACACAAAATAAAAATAAATACATTTTTTAAAACCTACAGTTAATTTTTTTAGGCGTAAAGTTAGTTACTACTTGCTTTTATATATATATTAAATACGTCCACATACGTGGACTTTCCCTTTTGCATCTTGGACTTTGTTTATGCATTTGCAGCTGAGTGTGTCAGTATTCTGCATACAACACACAGATTCCTCTCCCCCTTTTTTTTCCTTAAAAAGAGCTCACATTATACGCATTCTGAGACCATCTTTTGCCTTCATTGAAAATGTTTTAGGGCTGGGAAATGTAGCTCAGTTGGTATAGAACTTGCCTAGTTTGCATGAGGTGCTGTATTCAATTCCCAGAACTACACAAACCAGATACAGCAACACAGACTTGTAAGCCCAGCACACAGAAGGCGGAGATGGGAAGATCAGGGGTCCAAGGTCATCCTTGGCTACACGGGACAGTCGAGACTGTTCTTCCCCCACTAATACTCCAAAAGAGAGTTTGCGCATGTGCATGCGTACTACAGTGCTCCTGGGAAGGTCAGGGACCTATGGGAGTCCATCATGTGGATTCCAGGTATCAAACTCAGGTCCTTAGGCATGGAGGTAAGCTCTTGTATCTATTGAGCCATCTTGTAGGCCTGCTCCTTATTAGTTTTAAAGGCCAAAAACTTTTCTGTAGCAGAGATGAACCACAATGTATTGATGATTTGTTTGCAAAATATCTTCATTGCATGTGGTGCTGTGGTGACTGTCCTTCATGTGTATTCCTTTTATGTCTGTGTGAGCATTTCTGTAGACTGAAATTCTCTCTCTTTTGTTTTGTTTTTTGAGACAGGGTTTCTCCATGTAACCCTGACCTGGAACTCCCTCTGTAGACCAGGCTAACCTCAAACTCACAGATCCACCTGCCTCTGCCTCCCCAGTGCTGGGATTAAAGGTGTGTGCCACCACTGCCGGCGGCTTAGAATAAAATTCTTAGTGGTGACATTAGTAGTTCAAGGAGAATTATATCTTAGCAGGGTGCTGGTGCATGTAGTTTTGAGCTATTCAGAGAGCTGTGATAGGATTGCTTGAGCCCAGGGGTTTGAGATAAGTTTAGGAAACATAGCAAGATTCTGTGTGTGTGTGTGTGTGTGTGTGTGTGTGTGTGTGTGTGTGTGTGTGTGTGTATTTTAAATTTATTAGTTTATGAGAGGGGGTGCAGTAATGTATGTGAAGGGACACAGTAAACAAACTACCTGCAGGACTTCTTCATTATTTTAATGTGAATAAGAGAGAGAAAATAATCCGGAGGCATCTGGAGTAATCCAGAGCAGAGAGAAAGTAGACAGAATGGCCTGGGCTAGGGAAGTGGGAGAGAGAAATGGAGATAGTGAGATCAGAAGGACAGAGAATACAGCACAGAGAGCAAGAGGATAGCCAGAGCTAGATATGGTGGGGAAGAGAGACAGACAGACAGACAGACAGACAGACAGACAAGACGGGGGAATAGTAGAGAACAGTGGGCTACATAGGAAGTAACTGGGGGAGGGAAAGGCCAACAGACTATTGTGGGTTTTGGAACACGTAACCGGTACTTGTGACACTGAGGGGGTCTGGAGGCCAGTGTGGGTTTTGATGTGCTGAGAGGCTCCACAGACAGCCATGTGTCCCTTCTGCCAGAGGTAAGGGAAATGACTCCTTTTGGTAGATGGGAACTGGTTTCACAAGTTCTTGAGGAGTGCTTTTATCTGACCACCAGAAATCCTCTATAGTCCAGCTTTGAGCTCATTTCTAGATGTATGGACTGCCTAAGACCTAACCGTCAGTGCCTACTCATTTATTAGTGTCTACTCCCAACAACTCTTATTATTTAAAAAAAAAAAAAGACTTATTTATTTTTGTGACAGGGGCTCACTACGTAGATCAGGCTGGCCTGATACTCAGAGATTTGGATTAAAAGTATATACCACCATGCCAGGAAAAATTTATTTTTATTTTATGTGTATGCATGTTTTGCCTGCATACATGGATATGCACTGCCTGCATGCTTGATGCTTCCAGAGACCAGGAGAGGGCATGAATCCTCTGGAACTAGAGTTATAGATGGTCGTGAGGCACCATATGGGTGAGGAAAGCCGGGTCCTCTTTAAGAGCAGCCTCTGCTCTTAACTGCTGAGCCATCTCTCCAGCCCCAGTTCTTAACATTTTATGTTTCCACTAACTACATATGAGCTTATTTTCCCGGAACTTTGCCAATATTTTTTCAAATTTTATTTTATTTTTAGTTAATGTATATTGGTGTTTTGTCTGCATGTGTATCTGTGTGAGGGTGTCAGATTCCCTGGAACTGGAGTTATAGACAGGTTTGAGCTGCCATGTGGGTTCTGGGAATTGAACTTGGGTCCTCTGGAAGAGTAGCTGGTGCTGTTAACCACTGAGCCATCTCTCCAGCCCCGCCAATAATTTTTTGAAATTTTCAGGAAGTGACAGAGAAACCCTGTCTTGAAAAACTAATAATAATAATAATAATAATAATAATAATAATAATAATAACCCAATTAATGACAGACTCAGAAGGACCCCCAAGCTATTGTAAGGCCCTCTGATTCCTGATCAGCAGGAGGACACTGAAATGTGAAATGTCCTGGCTGCTCCTCCTGTTGGAAGGTTTCTCTGTGTAGCTTTGGCGCCTTTCCTGGATCTCGCTCTGTAGCCCAGGCTGGCCTCAAACTCACAGAGATCCGCCTGCCTCTGCCTCCCGAGTGCTGGGATTAAAGGCTTGCGCCACCACCGCCCTGCGGGTTATTTGTCAATGAACTAAATCTACATCGCTGTCACTTCCTGAAATGCTAGCAGCTGCTGTTTCCTGATGCCCCAACCTTCAACACCAAGAAAGAAGCGTGGGCAGAAGGCTCCGCACTCAGTCTTTACTGTTTCCCTCCCAGGTGAGGGTTGTGAATGAAGAACTCTACCGAAAGACGCTGGAGGAAATTGTCCGCTCCCTGGATAAGATGGAAAATGCCAACATTCCTTCTGTGTCACTCTCCAAACGGGAGGTAGGAAAGACCCAGACCCATTAGGAATATTAGCATCAGGGTTGGGGAGTTGGCTCAGTTGGTAGGACCTGAATTAAGCCCCAGAACCCATATTGGGATGGTGTAGTCGGAAGGTTTCTCTGGTCCTGCCCAGCCCGCAGTCCCACAGCTGCTTGTAAAATAATTACTCAGAGGCTTCTATTAATTACCATTTGCATGGCATATAGCAGGCTTCTTGCTAGCTAGCTCTTATAACTTAAATTAACCCATTTCTATTAATCTGTGTTTTTGCCACATGTTCCATGGCTTATCGGTCTGCTGGCATATTGTTCCTTGGGCAGCAGGCTAGGGTCTCTCTGCCTCTCCTTTCTCTTCCTGTCTATCTGCTTGGATTTCTGCCTGCCTCTAAGTTGCCTTGCCATAGGCCAACGCAGCTTTATTTATCAACCAATCAGAGCAACACATATTCACAGCATAAAGAAAGATACCCCGCAGCAGGGTGGTGGTGGGCACTGGGCATTGTGTTGGGTGTGGTGGCATGGTCCTTTATTCTCAGAATTTGGGAGGCAGAGGCAGATGGATCTCTGAATTCAGGCTAGTCTGGTCTATAGCAAATTCCAGGAATTCTAGGCCAGCCAGGGCTACCTAGTGAGACTGTCTGAAAAACAAATGGAGTTCAAGGGAAGATACTTAAGCTGGAGATGTCTAGCCCCTTGGCAGAGTGAGCTTGACCTTCAGGTTCAGGGGCCAACTTGAGCATGGTGTTTTGGAAGAACAAAGACGGAAGCTTTGTTCACTTTAGGAAACTTACTTATAAAAACATCTTGGGCTTTGGCTTGCATAGGCCAGTGGTCTTAAGCAGCAACTGTGTCCTCTCAGCTAAATACATTTCATAGAGATGGTTGTTCATTTTCTTCCCGAGACCAGTCGTTTTTCCAGTCGGGTGGGTGGCAGCTGGAGCACAGAACGCTGGCTCTGACTGTCCCTTGTCTGTCCCCAGTTCTGTTTTGAGAATGTGAAGTACATGCAGTTGCAAACCGAGTCCTTCACGATCCATAATGGCCAAGTGCCCTGTCAGTTTGAGTTCATCAACAAGCCTGGTGAAGACTCCTACTGTAAGCAGTGGCTGACTGCCAAACCCAGCAAAGGCTTCCTCCTGCCAGGTAACTCGGCTCTTCCTAGGCTCTGCCTTCTATGCCCTGCCTGGCCTTTTCATTTTCCTACATAGGCTTTTTTGCTTCTGAATGCCTTATTCCTAGCCAGAAACTTTTCTTGTTTTGCTTTGTCTTGTTTTGTTTTTTGGTGTTGTTTTTGTTTTGAGATAGAGTCTCTCCATTATGTAGCTATGGCTGTCCTGGAACTCACTGTGTAGGCCAAGGTGGCCTCACAGAGATCTGCCGGCCTCTGCTGGGTCTAAGCTTTTTCCCCCAAACTCCTGTAGCCGAACTCAGCCATATATAAAATGTAAAGTGCTGAGGAGCGTGTGTTCTGTTTCAAGAACATTTTAGTCACAGAGTTGTGGGATTATGGCAGGTACTGCTACTTTCGGGGCCATCTCCACTGCCTGTCTTATTGTAATCAGTGCCCAGGTATCTGGAGGAAAAAAAATAAGAAGGGTAGGAAAGGACATGACTGTTCCTAGGTATGATGGAGCAGAAAGTTTATTATAAATAAAAGGGAGAGCGTATGTAGAGGTAGTGACATCTGGGAGAATCCAGAGTGGACATGACCAGACTGAGCTGGACCATGTGGGGAGAGGGGGAGGAAAGGGAAGAGAGGGGAACCAGGTACATCAGCCAGGAGGCCAGAGGCACAAAAGAGGTGGGTAACCAGAATGTCTGGATTACATAGGGAAGAGCCTCTGGGGGAAGGGCAGCCCAGCCCCTGGGCTGGAGAGTTCAGGGTAGAGGGTGGGGTATACCAGCTATCCCCTGTAACAGGTAGGGACTGAGGGATGCTGGGAGAATCTGGTGGTCAGGTCCGCTTTGGTATCTTAAATAGGCACCTCAGCCATTTGTCCCAGGGTCTACAACTTAACAGTATCTAGATTAATGGGTAGTAATCTAGAAATGGTAACAGGCCCCCAGAATGTAACATCCCCATTCTGCAGCTGGAAGCCAGGGCGGGGGGTGGGGGTGGCGGCTTTAATTCCAGCACTTGGTAGGCAGAGCCAAGCGGATCTCTGTGAGTTCGAGGCCAGCCTGGTCTACAGAGTGAGTTCCAGGACAGGCACCAAAACTACACAGAAAAACCCTGTCTCGAAAAACAAAACAAAAAAAATCTGCAGCTAGAGAATTCAGAGTGTTTCCTGGCTAGTTCCCAGGTGATAACCTCCCTGGATCTTCGAAGGGGCACGCGTTTTCATCTTACCTGGTCCAGGGCTGGTCCTGTGATCCATGCCTTCTTCCCAGATTGTTCTCCTAGTTTAGGATCTGCTACTTGAGTTTCTAGGCATCTGTCTCCGGCTTGCCTGTGTTGTCTGCGCATTTCCAGGCTGGACTGTGCACAGTGTGTGCTTCCATGGTGCGAGCTCACAGGTCCTTGCCGATGGATACCTTCTGTTTCCTTTCCTAGCCTTTCGGCCTTCCTCTCTTCCCTCCTGCCTTTTCCTCTTTCTCTCGATTGCTCCCTCTCTGATGTTGCTTTTAAACTTTTTCCGTAGATTCTCACGTTGAGATTGAATTGGAGCTCTTTGTAAACAAGGCTACCGCCACAAAACTCAACTCAGGCGAAGACAAAATTGAAGACATTCTGGTTTTGCACTTGGTCCGGGGAAAGGATTACTTTTTGTCTGTGTCTGGGAACTACCTGCCCAGCTGTTTCGGGTCTCCCCTTCATACATTGTGCTACATGAGGGAGCCAATCTTAGACCTACCACTGGATACTGTTAGCAAGCTGGTGAGTAACAGACCCTGACGAAACATCCAGTAGTCATCAGCTCAGGGCAGACACTATGTTTCTGTATCCACCTCCCAGGATGTAAGGTTTTTGCAGCCTCCTAGAGCTTGCTTAGTATCAGTGTAACAAGCCCCTCCCACCCCCAAAATGACAGTGAGTTGTCTCTCATGACTCTTGCTTTTTTTCTGCTGGTCCAAGGCTCATTAGTGCTAATGGAATCAGGCCGCAACTGTGTTGGCCACCATGTTGAAGGTAGCCTCTCTTGCCTGCCTCAGTCTTGGTTGCCCTCTGGCCTCTGCACACAGCCCTCAGCTCTCAGGAAGTGAGCTCAAGCTTCTGCAGGCAGAGGCAAGAACAAGGGAAAAGCTCAGGCCTTCCATGGCATGGCTGGTGAAGCCCAGAGCCCCACTTCTGCCTTGCTGTGTGGTTTGGAGCAAGTTGTGAAGCCAGCCCAGATCCCAGCATAGAAAGACTCCCTCCACCTCCTGCTGTGGAGAGCTGCAGAAGATGGCCACGCTCAGCCCAGGTCCCAGCATAGAGAGACTCCACCTCCTGCTGTGGACAGCTGCAGAAGATGGCCACGCTCTCCAGCCTTGATTTCACTTCTGTGCATGTGTTAGAGCAGCAAGCGGCGGTAACAAAACTCCATAGACGGCGCTTTATGAAGAAAAGAAGTGTTGTATTCACAGTTTGAGAGGCTGAAGTATACAGTAAAGATCACCGATGACTTGTTTGATGAGGGCCCTCTTGGTTCCTAGATGGCCGTCTCGGTGTCCTCATATGTCAGGAGCGGGAGACTCTTGGTTTTCTTACTGCACCCCAATCCCATTTGTGACCACACAGCCCTCATGACCAACTACCTCCCAAAGGCCCCACTTCCAGATACCGTCACATTGATGACTGAGATTCGTTATGGTAATCTGGGTAGGATGGAGGAGACACATGGCATAAACATTCAGTGTCTAGCAAGCAGTGCAGTAGAGAAACTTAGCCATGACTGCCATCTGGGGGCTGAGAGATTGCTCAGTTGATGAAGTGCTTTCCATGTCAGTATGAGAACTTGAGTTCAGTTCCCCAGAACCCACATAAAAGGTACATGTCCGCCAGGAGGTGGTGGCACACCCCTTTAATCCCAGCACTCAGGAGGCAGAGGCAGGTGGATCTGTGTGAGTTCGAGGCCAGCTTGGTCTACAGAGTGAGTTCCAGGACAGCCCGGGCTACACAGAGAAACCCTGTCTTGAAAAAAACCAAAAGAAAAAAAAAAAAAGGGACATGTCTGTGATCCCAGCTCTGGGAGATGGAGACAGGTGACCCTGGGAACCCATTGGCTAGGCGTTCTAGACTAATTGGAAAGTTCCAGGTTCAGTGAGAGATCCCTGTCTCAAAGAACAAGTGGAAATCAACTAAAGAAGACACTCAGTGTTGACCTCTGGCCACCACCCCATGTGTTTGTACATCCATCCACACCCACACACAAACCAAACAGACAAATAAATAAATAATGACCATCTGGCAGGTTATCCTAGAATAAGTTTGCTAAGAAGCAACAGGCTCCTGTGGCGACCATCCTAACACAAGGGAACAAGTTTGGCACAGGTTTAGGTAATTTGTGCACTTTTTTCTTAGAACACATATTTTCAGTTAGGGGCTCTATTATTTGACGTAGATGAAAACAAACCCAGTGAAGGAAAGCGATTTGTCACAGGTCACATGGTCAGTGGCAGTGGCCCTGGAGCTTGGGCTCACCAAGTGTGTGCTCTTTCCTCACTGGATCACACAGCCTCTCTGGTTCTAACAGTGGGATGCTGGGAGAACTTGCTTCTGTGAAGTTAGGGCATATCCTACCCCATTCATTGAAACTGCTTGCTCTAAGCACTCTTCCCATCCTTAGAAACCACCTTTTGTCACCCAGGTGTACCACCTGATCTCCTTGTTTATTTTTATTTCTGGCCTCTGGAATGCCTGGTTTAGTGGCATGGAAGAAGCTTCCCTTTGTAGTTTGCTGTCCCCACATCGTGCATTTTCTTGAAGTTCCACCTAGTCATGACTTGTCATGATTTTTCTTTCTTTGGAGACCTTGATGCCAATGCAGTCTGCAGATGAGAGGAACCAGTTGGAGAACCCCATGGAAATCCCCAAAGAACTCTGGATGATGGTCGATTACTTGTATAGAAATGCTCTCCAGCAGGTAGGTTGGAGTTAAGGCAGTCGGAGAGATCGATAACTTTTGTGTGGAAACCTTTTGTCCCAGGGAATCTGTGGAGAATTGTTCTGCCCCCAGGGAGGGAGTGCATGTTTGGTACTTGACCTTGGCTCCCCACTGGGAGGCAGAGCAGACTTGCCAGCTCTGTGTTTCTTCTTCTGGCCTCTCAGTCTCCCCAGAATCGGACTTCTGAATGCCACCTGGGAGGTCACTTTGATGTCTTTTGCAGGAGCTCTCACCTGCTTCTGGGAATGGGAGGGTGGGGGTGGGACTCCCTTGTTGACATTTCAGGCAGAGGACAGGGGAAACCCCCAGGTTGTGAATTGGGAGGGTTGATTTCTGGAGAGATTGAGTCAGGCTTTCTGGGATTCGTTGGTCAGTTTGATTGACTTGGCTATACACTTTGTGAGGTCCAGGCTCCAAAGCCAGGCGCAGAAGAGGGTCACAGGAGGCTGGTGACTGGAGGAGAATGTGAGGAATTGTAGACAATTAAGATACATTTTATTCAGCACCACACAGGCCACTAGTCAGGCTGACACTGACAGGCACCCGGGCACAGGCCATCACACAGGGCCCCACACAGGCTGGACAGAGGGAGGCACAGAGGCAGGCTGGGAAAGGCAAAGGCTCTTGCCTCTGACCTCAAAGCCATGTTTATAGAAATTTTCATCTTGCAGCAAAATCTATTCATATTCTCCTTTCCTCTCTCCCTGTCTCTTTCCCCTTACTCTTCTCCTCCCCCCTCCCTTCTCCTCCCCCCTCCCCCTCCCTCTCCCCTCTTCCTTGCCCTATCCTCTAGTGCTGGGACTATACTAAGGCCTCATGCATATTAGTTAGGCAAGAGCTCTAACAACTGAACTGCATTCCAAGCTGTTTAGTTTTTGAGATAGTAGTTCACTGTATAGCCCAGGCTAATGGCAAACTCACAGCCCCAGACTAGTTTTGAGTTCATGATCCTCTTGCCTCAGCCTTCAGTATGCTGGGACTGGGACTCCATCATGTCTGGCTTTTTTTCATTTTCCCACTCACACTGGTGTTGCTGTATACCAAGTTGTGTTCTGTTTATCCCATTTCTTTATTTAACTCTCACAGCAATTTTTGGAGGACACAGATGCCCTGAAAGGTGAATAACTTACTCCCAAGCTGATTAACACACAACAGTGGGCTTTCTTTTTAAAAACTGGATTTTTAAATATACATATGTCATATGTATATGTATACATTATTATTATTATTATTATTATTATTATTATTATTATTATTATTATTATTTTGGCCATGCTATTGTTGGAACCCTGGGCCTTAGCCCTCTACCACTGAGCTCATTCCCAGGCCTCAGAATTCACTTTTATAAGAGGTCTGTCTCCTCTGTAGATCTTTCAAATGTAACTTGTAAGCAATATATGTAATATTTTTTATTATTAATAGTTACATTACGTTGAGTAGCTTTATGAAACAAATGAATCCAAAGTATCTTGAGACTAATGGAATGATGTTTACTGACATATTTTTTTTGCATAAGGTCTGAGGGGTCTTTTTGCCCCCCATCTCTTTGTTGTTGTTGTTGTTTGTTTTGGTTGAGGATCAAAGTAGCTTTCCAGTCTTACACATGGCATGTCTCTCATACATAACACTGCAGGACACATACTCTGTGTGACTTTTCTCTTACCCTGGATCTTGTCTTGTGTGGCGGGGCCTACCCACAGCTTTATAATGCATGCATGCCTAGTGACCTCCGGTGAAGCCATGCCTAACAGGGCCTGAAGATGAATTAGTCACATCAGCCTAAGTCACATTGTCCCCGGGGATGATTGGGAGTTCTCACTGCACAGCTGCAGTTGGACTCTGGTGATATGGGTGGATAATCACTGCCACTTTTCTGGGGAAATAACTGTTTTGTGGCTTTCTTCCCTCTTGCAGGAAGATCTGTTTCAGCAGCCAGGCCTGAGGCCGGAATTTGAGCATATAAGGGACTGTTTGGACACTGGGATGATTGACAACCTCTGTATCCTTCAGAAGTATGTGTGTGTGTGTGTGAGTGAAAGAGGAACAAGCCTATCTCAAAGCCCGGAGTCTGAAACTGTGACCTCAGCTAACAGGCTCTACCTCATAAGACCCTGCTCAGAGAGGACATTACGGCCTTAAGCAGTCAGGGTGGCCGGAACTGAGGAGAGCCTGACTCACCTGACAAACGGCATGGTGCCTTCGAGACTGGGCTGGCATCCTAGCACTGAGGAGAGCCTGACTGAGCAGGCAGCCCTTCTGGCACATACTTGTCCCTGGGCCTTCCCTATCCCTGGGCAGCACCATCACCTGCTCCTTAACAATGGGCCAAAGGCGCTAACAACCACTCCGTAGCCGAAGCCTTGCTGCTTTTCCTAGAGAGCCTGCCAGAGCCCGTCATCTGCTACAGCGCCTACCATAGCTGCTTGGAGTGCTCTGGCAATTACACAGGCAGCAGACAGGTGAGGGGAAGCACCGAGCGGTGAGGGGAAGCACCGAGGAGCAGCAGCGTGCATCGTGGCTAGCCCTGGGCAGGTGAAGCTGGCCAGAACAGTCGAACAGCCCCTCCAGTGCAGTGCCTTGGAAAATGAGTATCTTCCCTTCTCCTGCAGTGGCCTGGAAGATTACCATCTTTCTCTCTCAAGCCTGCTCTTCCTCTCATGTCCCTTTTGCTTTTAATAGCATCACCCTTAATTCCAGTGACTCAACCCCGAAACCTGAGTCATTTCTGATTCCTTCCTCTCCTCACCTCCCACGTGCCCAGTCCCATTGATCTGTCACTTTTCTACTCTCCCATCGCCACTCTGCTTACGCGGTCCTGTGCTCTGTGTTAATGCGCTCCCTCTGTTCTCCATTTTGCATGCTACAGTTAGATCGTGAACTTAATGGTGCCATCCTATTGGACAAAGCCATACTTGCCTCTTTGTTCACTGTTAGTTAATGATCCCCACCCCCCCACCCCCACCTCTGCCTCTGTGAGACAGGGTCTCCTGTGACTCTGTCTGGCCTGGAATTCAGTGTGGTCCAGATTGACCTCATATTCACTATCCTTCTGCCTCAGCTTTCCAAGTGCTGGGCTCTTGGTGTGCATCACCACACCCAACTTAATTGATAGAATAATGTACAATAGTTGCCAACAGTACAGGTTCCAAACCTTCGCTCATATCCATTGAGTCTGAGTATCTTCTGGAACCTGTCTTTTCCTCCAGCTCCCTGGTTGATTCTGCTGTGCAGATATGTGGGCTATTCACTGGATATTCACTGGATTCCTCCTGGATAACCCTTCCAGGCTTAGGGCCTGTGCAGCCAGGATATATGCCTGCCAACATTGATGTTTCCTGTTATCCCTGCTTGTCATCTTGCTTTCTCTTGCCTTCTGTGCCCCCAATACCCCAGCCCTCACTGCTACACGTCTAATATTATCTTCTGTTCAAGACCCAACTAAAATGTATTAATTCCCTTAAGTTGTCTGAGAATATAGAAGTTCTCAGAATTAGAAGTCTGACCTCTAAATTCATGCAGGATTTGACCTTTGTGCGGGTTTGGCACTTATGCCAAGTGGTGAGTGATTAGCTCTGTGTGCATTCTTACTCACGTTTGTAAGTCGTGTCCTCAGTTCCTGGAATATAGCAGGCAATTGGTCAAGTAACTGAGTGAGTGAAGCTGCAAACACCACCCCTCCCCTCTTTCAGGTCATTTCTACTCTCCCTACATTCCACAAAAATGTCTTCAACTACTTGATGGCGTTTTTGCAAGAGTTGCTGAAAAATTCAGCAAAAAATCATTTGGATGAAAATATTCTGGGTAAGTAGCCAAGTGTCTAGAGCAAGCCTCTCTACAGAGTCACTGAGCAAGGAGGTGGAATTAAAATGTAATTTCTTTTCTACATTCACTTCCTCTTTTCCTCCCTTTTCCCCACAAGCTCTGAGGAAAGTGTTTGCCTTTACTTTTTTTTTTTAAAAAAAAAACAACAGGGTTCTCTGTGTAGCAGCCCTGACTCTTTGGAACTCATACATGACCCGCCTGCCCCTGCCTCTGCCTCCCGAGGCTTTTTTAAATTTTTAAAAGACAGGGTCAAGTTATGTCTGTTGTCAGAGCTGGCCTCAAACTCACCATGTAGCTCATACTGGCCTTGGACTCAGGATGCTCTTGCCTTGGTCTCCTGAATGCTGCCTATGTGCCACCATACCCTATTCTGGACCAAGTTTATATGCAAATAGTTTGTTTGAGGCTGGAAGTATGACTTAGTGGTAGAACACTTGCCTAGCATGTGCAAGGCCCTGGAGCTCCCTGTTTTGGCTAGACTAGCTGGCTGGCAAGTCCCCAGGATCCACATCTCTGCACATCCACATCACTGGGGTTACAGGTGTATGTCAGTGTGCCTGGCTTTTACGTGGGTGCTGGGGATCTGCACTCAGGTCTTCTCTGATGTCTGCATGGCAGGCACTTTACTCCCTGGGCCATCTCCCCAGCCCCTGTTTATTTTTTGAGGCAGAGTCCCACTGTATAGCTAAGGCTAGCCTGGAACTGAAGACTGGTGGGAATACAGACAGACATGTACCACCACACCTAGCTGTCTGTTTTTCTCTAAGAAGAAAATACCTGGGCATATTGGTGCACATCTTTAATCCCAAGACTCGGGAGGCAGAGGCAGGTGGATCTCTTGAGTTTGAGGCAGCCAGGGCCTGCCTTTAAAAAAAAAAAATGTTGCTTTGGGGTAGCTCATCCTCCCTCCTAGCCACCCTAGTGTCCTTGTTGCTAAAGGTTTTCTGTTTCTGTCATGCCCAGCTAGTATATTTGGCAGCTTACTGCTCCGAAACCCAGCTCATCACCAAAAGCTTGACATGGCGGAGAAGAAGAAGGCCCAAGAGTTTATTCACCAGTTCCTCTGCAGCCCAGTCTGAACCTCAGTACTCCTGTTTTACCCAAGGCAGCCACAACCGTCAGCCCCACCTGTTCCAGCTCAAGAGCTGTCCGAACGTGCACTGAGGCCAGCTGGGAGCAAGAACGGCAGCTGTGTGTGTCTTGAGCCTAGAGCAGCCTGCCCGTACCCATGCCATTGGCTGGCACACCCTTGCTGACTTGTGAAGACATGGGGGGAAGCCACAATAATAGAACTGACGTTCAGTATTCAACTTCAGTTATTTAACACAAGTAGATCTCTATAAATTTATATTTAAAAAACTTTTTTTAAGTAACTGTACTTTGCCTTACTCAACCTGCCTCCAGGACATGTATGTATGTATGTCAGTGAGTTTCCTGCATCCCAGACTCATAATTAGATATTTGGACTAACTGAAGTCCTTGAAGGAGACTGAATTGGACAGCAGGAATTTGGTTAGATGTTCTGGATAAACAAGTTTTAGCCATTCCAGATGCTTCCACTGTCCAAACTGAGGACATGTATATACACAGGGCGACCCTGTCCCCATTCTGCTCAGCTCCAAGGCCTCTCAGTCGCCCCTAGAAGCACAGAAGAAAGGAGGCTGTGGTGAAACAAGTGGGATTTTGTAGGCCAGCCTGTCCTCCCAACTGTATATAATGCATCCCCTCTCATATGTGTAATATATTTTAATGATAAATGTATTTTTAACAGTCATGATTGTATGTTTTTTTCCTCTTATTTCTTTAGTTGTGTGTGTGTGTGTGTGTGTGTGTGTGTGTGTGTGTGTTGGTATATTCATGTGTGAATGCTAGTGTCAGGAGAGGCCAGAGATCCTTGTGAACCTGGAATTACAGGCGGCTGTGAGCCACCCAGTGTGGGTTCTGGGAATCGAACTCAGGTCTTCAAGAGCAGTAGGTGGCCTTAACTTTTGAGTCTTCTACCCTCATTCCCCTCTCTCAAAATATGGTAGTTCTTGAGAGCTGGGCCTTTGTGGCTTAAGCACAGAAGCAGCTGGTCAGGGGCCAAAAAGACATGTGTGGCAGTCTGGTGTGTGAGAGTCACTATTCAGTATTACCCAAGCAGAGGGTGGCACAGTAGTTTGGGCCTGAACCCTGATCTAGCATATAAGGGCATTGAACCAACCTAAACAGTCTAGAGAAGTCGCTCTTGAGGAAAATAAGCAGTGGCTTATGCGAGGCTCTAATAGTGATAATTTACAGGACTATAGTACAAGTACGCGCAAAATGGCTTATTTGGATTTGGAATACTGCTACCGGTACCTGGCTTCAAGGGTCTGTAGGAGTGGTAACAGCTGAAGCGGGGACGGGCCAGTAGGTGGCGCTGAGCCTCCCCAGCGCGAGGACCCTCCCTGGGACAGGAAAGTTGGGACTGCCAGCTCCGGCGGGCGGGCGGGCGGGCGTGAGAACTGGAAGCGTTTGGAGCACTCTGCTCTGCTTTCGGGTCCCGGGGCCTCAGCCAGGTGAACTACGCTGCGTGACGAGGGCGCAGTGGAGGGAGAGGAGGGATGCTACGGGCCGGCCCGCGCGTCGGGGAAGCGGCAGCTGACTGCGTCCTTCCTTACTGCGCCCTTCCCGCTGCAGCTAAGGGCGCAGCCCGGGCTGAGGGCACCCCGGGTTCATGGCTAATGTTGCGTGCTCTCCCGCGCGGGAGATCGCCGCTCCCTACGGTCAGCTTCCCCGGGCCGCACAGCAGTTCCTGACGCCGATACCCTGCCCACGGCCCGCCCGCCGGCTGGAGGCGCGGTCTCAACCCCTGGACAGCAAGCGCCAATCAGAAACTGCAGCGGGCGCAGGGACCCGCCGGCCTCTCCTTCCTCCGGAAAGCGGAAGCGGAAGTGACGCCAGGGACAGGTGGGGGCAATCATGGTGCCGCTGGGGAGGGGAGAAGCTGCCGCTGCCGCCGTTGCCGGGAGCCGCGGAGGTAAAAGCAGAAGCTGGACTCGGCTGGGGCTGGGACTCCCCGGGGGGCGCGGGACTTGGGCTCCCTGCCGAAGCCGTTCCCGGTAGAGACTTCATGCCACTCACTGGAGGGACCCCACCCCTCCTCCGTTTCCATGGGGATGGGTATCCAGCCCCCCTTCTCTGTTTCCATGGAGACCCGGACCCTGCCCCTCTTCGCCCTGCTCGTAGCCCCCAGCCTGCCTTGGGGTTTTTCTATGTTAGCCCTGGACTGGGGGTGCTTTCCCGGTCAGGTTCCTTCTGCCAGTCTTTCAGGGGTGCGCGGTTCGCACTCCTCGGCCACACTCACACCTCCTGGTCTTGTTTGTTACGGAAAGTTGGTCTCCGCGTTGCCGCCGAAGGTGCCGGGGCAGCCCACCGGGAGCTCTCGGTATTCTTATCTCTCCTCTCAGATACAGAGAAACGTGCATTTCTAGGGTTGCGTAAGCAAAGGTTCGGGCTGGTTCCTCTCAGATTAGATCCCTTGACCTGTGTCTTGTAACTGCCTCGCCTTGTCACTCTGGCTTGTAAAGGCTCACTTGCTAACCCTGAGCAGAAGAGAAAGTGCAGAACCAGGCTGAAAGCCAAGTGATGTGCTGATTATTTTAAATTCTCCTTTTGTGTCTGCCAAGCCCACAATTGTAGAACCTGTGTGTTTTCGGGGGAAGGAAGAATCACCATTCCAGACCATGAAAGCTTCAAATTTGGTAATTTCCTCAACAGCCTGTATCTTCGAAAAAAAGACTTTATCTGCTTGTCTGCCCTTCATTTTGTTGATATTTCCTGAGTTCCTTGTGTCAGTACGCTGTGCTAGGGACAGCTTTTCAGAGCAGAAAGCCTAGTCGCGCTGTACAGGCATACTCTCTGGTCCATGTCATGTTTTAGGATATAACTATTTAAAATGATTTGCATTAGCAATGCTTTATTGGGGATTAACCCCGCCACTCCATGTGTTCTGGAAACGACAGAAGGAAGCAATCCTGTTTCTACTGTTTGACAGGATCGTGCTTTACATGTAGTTTCTCTTTCACTCCTTATGAGACAGGAACTATCAGTCCCACTGTAGAAAGACAAGGCACAAACAGGTTGGCCAAGCGGTAAAGGGCAAGACCAGGATTTGTAGGTGATTATGTTCAAAGCATTGTTTCTGCACCATCAACTATGTGAGGCTGTGTACTGCCTCCCGGAGTGATTGAAGGGGAGGGTGTTTGAATGGGAGTGCCTCCCTTAAGGTTTATAGCCACTGTTCCTTGAGGCAGCGACCTGATTGCTCTTTTCTCCTCATCAGATACATATCCATCTTTAAAGTGTGTGACAATAAATTACTTAGAAGGTTTTGTGAACTGCTAATTTTTGAAAAAAAGAAAAGATACATTGCTTTCCCTTAAGAGTGACTGATTTTGCCAAATTTCAAATATTTCCAAGGAAGGTGATTCTTTTGTTTGTTTGTTTGTTTGTTTTGTTTTGCTCCCCCCCCAACACCCCCCCACCCCCGGTTGAGATTCTCTCTGTGCATTCCTGGCTCACCACCATGCCTAGCCTGGATTGCTGTCTTTTTTGTTTGTTTTGAGACAGGGTTTTACCATGTGAGTGTGTGTGGTTGGCCTAGAACTCAATGTGAAGACCATGCTGGCCTTGAACTCACAGAGGTCTGCCTGCCTCTGCCTCCCAAGGTCTGGTGCTAAAGCTTTGGTTTGCTTCAGAACAAGGGAGAAGATCCCTGAGGGGGCTAGGAGGTGGTTGAGTCTCGTGCTGTGTATGCTCTAACTCTGGTGTTGTCTGTTGCAGAAAGGCCATTGCTTTTCCATTTCTCACAATTGGGCTGAGCACAACTGAACCATGGGGGAACACAGTCCAGACGACAATATCATCTTCTTTAAGGGAGAGGAAGATGACCTAACCCCGGATGACAAGATGCTCAGGTTTGTGGATGACAACGGACTGGTGCCTTCCTCATCTGGAACTGTTTATGATAGGACCACTGTTCTTATAGAACAGGACCCAGGCACTTTGGAGGACGAAGATGACGATGGACAGTGTGGAGAACACTTGCCTTTTCTCGTGGAAGGTGAAGAGGGCTTCCTGATAGACCAGGAAGCAATGTCCCAGGGTTATGTACAACACATTATCTCACCCGATCAGATTCATTTGACTATAAACCCCGGTTCCACGCCCATGCCAAGAAACATCGAAGGTGCGACCCTTACTCTGCAGTCGGAATGTCCAGAAACAAAGCGGAAAGAAGTAAGTAAAGCAGCTGCTGAGGGCCCAGTGTGGCTGTGGGGCGGCCCGTACGCAGCGGCAGCGGCAGCCGAGGGCCCAGTGTGGCTGTGGGGCGGCCCGTATGCAGCGGCAGCGGCAGCGTGCTGCTGGCAGCTTTAACTGGGGTTAAAGGAGCTCCTGGGCCTAGAGCCTGCGGTAGCCTCGCCTGTCTGCAACGCATCTGCTTCCTGTTTTGTTGTGACTGCTTTCTAGAACTGTTGGATTGTATGGTCCATTGTAATTGAGGAATACTGCATTGTAATATCTCAGATTTTCCTCTCCAAATCATAAATAAAGTAGAAGTTTCACCAAAGTGAATTCATGTTTATACTGCGAAAGTAACAGCGTGGCTCCTCTGACAGCAGAGTGACTAGATTTGTGTGGAATAACGAGAACTGGCTATAAATGATTTGTTTTGTTTTGTTTTTTGGAGATGCCTGTGGGAGTGTGCTTTATTAATTTAGTGAATATTTAATGGATAGTAACTGGTAGTTTTTATAATTCAGGCAAGAGACCACAAATGAGACCAGGTCATCTAAAAGTTGTCACATTTATATTCAGATAACGAGGATGAAGTAATGCCTTTCAGGCTATCGTGGAAACTGTAACGCATTTTTCAAATTGTAGTGGTGAATTTGAATGAAGTAAATGGTACGGCTTAACTCACTTAGTGAGTGGTGAGCACTATCAGGAACTAGTGCAAGTTCATTTGAAAACACACAACAGGTCACTGCCCGTTCCTGTGCTGAGGGCTCAATGTCAGGTACCGCCAAGCAGAAATGGCTTCATTTCTTGAAATATTTTCCTTTTTGATGTAGTGAGTGTTTGAAATGACATACATAAGTACAAATGACTTATTCGTGACACTTGGCTTTTCCTTTAAGGGTGGAACGCCTGCCTAGCATACATGAGGGCCTGGTCTCTAGTACTGCAAATAAACGAATGAATAAATAAATAAATAAATAAATAAATAAATAAATAAATGGGTGTCTTAGAGCTGCAAATACCTTAGCGAGACCATCCTTCCCTACCTCCCCGTGGACACAGTCATCTTTGCAGCATCTCTGACATCTGTTCTTTGGTCTGTGCTTGCACACTTCTAGCATAGCTCAGGCCGGTACGTTTGCTGGCCTGCTCTGATTGCTGGGACGGAAGCTTTGGCTTGTATAGGAAGGACTAAAGTCTGTCGTCGTGTAGTGCTGTTCCCAGCCTCCAGTTCTGTATTCCTAATAACTTCTTCCATGGGGCAGCCTGCACATTTTTAAAGGTCCTGTCATGTTCTTTGGTACAAGCTAGCCACCTACACTCAAATATCTTTCTGATGGCATTTTCCCCTAGTCTGTCATCAATCTGGTATCCTTTAATTGAAGGAATTCCAGTTTTCCAAAGTTCTTTTAAAATCCAGAGTTGAGCATAATCTCACAGGAGTGAGTCAGCTGTGCCAGGCGAGTGGCTCTTATCGGTCTCTTCATCTGGACACTGGACTACAGTGACTGTGTCATCTGGGTTTTGTCAGCGACCTCTCACTGTTGGCTTGTACTTGGAAACCTCTAGAATAGTGGTTCTCGACCAGAGGTTGTTTTGCCCCCCAGGAGACGTTGGTTGTCACACTGGGGAAGTGCTAACTGGAATCTTGTAGGTAGGGGCTAATGATGCTGTTAGATACTTTATAATGTACAGGACAGCCTTTGGCAACAAATAATTACCCAGATGTGTTCAGGGCTTGGATGGAAGAGCCCTGTTCTGCATTATCATGGGTGCAGCTGTCAAGTTTTGTGCCGGTGAAGGTAGACATGCTTAGAAGCCTTTGGAGTGTCTCCATACTGAAATTTTCTTGTTGGTTTCAACCCAGTATGTGAGCTTGTATAGGGGTTCATGTGCCTTCAACAGACTCTATTATTTGTTCTTGCTGGTGTTCTTTTTGAGATGTCTCATGTAACCCAAGCTGGCCTCCAACTTGCTATGTAGTTTCGGTTGACCTTGAACTCCAGATCTCTTGCCTTCCCCTTTCCAGTGCTAAGATGACAGGTGTGTACCTGGCCTCACCAACATTTGTCAAGCAAGGTGCTGTGACTGCAGATGGCGATTTGCAGCAGAGGTAGACATACCTGAGGGCAGTGGTGTGAGCGTTAGGGATGAAGTGGTCAGTGTGAAGGGTACCAGTGCTGTATTTGGGAACACAGGAACTTGCTCACCTGTGCGCTTAGGCCAGCCTTCAAGGTGGCCTTAAAAATGTGGTCAGTTTATGAGAAAAGCAGGGCATGAGTATTTCTGAGAGATGGGGACAGTGTAAACAAAGAGAGGGAGGTAGAAAGCAGAGGCCCCTTCCCCTCTTTAAGGAATGGCCAGCTATCCCCCTAAAACAGAGTTAGAGAGTGTTTGTGTGTTTTCTTTTTTGAAACCGAGTCTTGTTGTGCAGCTCAAGCTTTTCTCAAAGTGGTGATCCTCCTACCTCTCCAGGGCTGGGAGTACAGGCATATACCACACGTGGCCAGTACATTTTTCTGTAAAGGGCTAAACAGTAAATGTTCTTGTCCTTACAGACTATGTGGTCTCTGTTACAGCCAGTCAGCCCTTCAGTTGTAACACAAAATCAGTCATAGACAATGTGTAGGTGGGCTGGGGGTGGAGCTCAGTCACGATCACATGCCACAAGGCCCTGGGTTCAATTCCTGGCACCACAGGAAAGGAAAAAGATAACATGTAAACGAGCATGCTGGCCAGAATTGACTTTCTGGCAGTAGTGAGTGTGTCAGTCCTTGGACTAGAATCAGGGAGTAGGAAGGGATAGGGATAGACAGCAAAGATCCAAACCTAGACAGCAGTGATAGCTTGCTCAGGGTTTGTGCTGTGTGAGAAGCAGTGACAGACTTGTGGATTTGGGAGCCAGGAATAATGTGACTAGAGGAGCATTTTAGAGCTGGGTATAGTGGTGCACACCTTTGATCCCAGCACTTGGGAGGCAGAGGCAGGTGGATCTCTATGAGTTTGAGGCCAGCCTGGTCTACATAGTTCTAGGACAGCTAGAACTATATAGTGAGAGCCTGTCTCAAAAAAGCAAAGGAGGAACGTTTTAGAAGGGGTCTTCTGACAGCACCAGGTGACTAGGAGACAAAGAGAAGAAAGGATTTAATGGCCTGCTAGAAGACACTTGAGTTTCATGTAACTGATGAAGGAAGGAATCTAAGACCCAAGGAACTTCGTATGCTGTTGGAATTTGCATAATGAGCCCTGAGTTGAATGTGAGTCAAAGATTTTTAATCATGTCCATTGAAAAGATTTGTCTAAGCCAGGCGGTGATGATGCACGCCTTTAATCCCAGCAGTCAGGAGGCAGAGGCAGGCGGATCTCTGTGAGTTTGAGGCCAGCCTGGTCTACAGAGCGAGTTCCAGGACAGCCAGGGCTACACGGAGAAACCCTGTCTTGAAACCCGCCCTCTCCCTTCCCCCCAAACAAAGGAAAGGAAGAAAAGATTTGTCTAAGACTGGGCATAGTGGTCGCACACCTTTCATGTCAGCACTCAGGGGGCAGAGGCAAGTGGATCTCTGAGTTCAAGGCCAGCCTGGGCTACACAGTAAGATCCTTTCTCAAAACAAAAGATTTTTTTTTTTTCAATGTGTTGAGTTGCTGCTGGTTGATGAGTGGGTAAAGATTTTAGTAGTTGAGCGTCTATGATGATGGATAATTCAGTCATGTTCAGGCTGCGTGCTGAAGACAAAAGTGGCTAGCTCTGCCTTCTGCCCGCTACCTCCCACTCTAAATGGTGAGTCTGTTAACAAGAGTTGGGGCAAGAGGAAAGTTTGGTGGGGAAATGAGTAACTTTGGTTGGTGTGTACTGAACGTGTAGTCCTTGGGAGTAAGGAGCACAAGTTGAAACCCACCGGAAACGTGGGTCTGAGGTCAAGGAAATGACATGGGTGCTAGAACCTTTCGGGTGGCTTTATGGACACGAAAGAAGCTAGGGACTGGAGAGAGAAGGGGAGCCAGAGAAGAAGACAGGAGTCAAGAGAGGCTGGAATGTGCTGTTCTGAACTCTGGGTCAGGAAGGCTGACTTCCTGTGTGACCTGGAAGAGGGACCGAGGGGCTGGAGAAAACATCAGCCCTGTCTCTTGTTCGGCTGTTGCTCACAGTTTGAAAGGGCCGTCAGTTGAGCCCGGGGCACAGAGCGTATGAGTGGGGCAGAGGTAAGCTGGGATGAGAGAACAGGATGTGTGAAGTTGTGTTGTGTTTTGAAAATTTGAGACTGGGAAGAAAATTGAGGTAGCAGTAGCTCGGGGGCATTGAAACTTTTAAGCAAGTTTGAGCTGGGTGTGCAGAGTCGATGGATGGAGTTCCAGGCCAGCTAGGGGCTACATAGTGAGACCCTATTTCTAAATTAGTTAATTAAAGCCTCAAAAGTTTTGACGTAGCTTAGGACCTAGCTTTAGGCCACCCTCAGTTAATGATTACTGTATGAGTGTTCATGAGCAAATGTTTGAGAAATACTAAGTAAAATCAAACTACTTCAGAACTCATCAGGCAGGACCTCTGACTTGCTAATAACTTAAGAAAGAAAAAGAATCGGAATTTAATAAATGCTACGGGCTTATGCTAGAAACCATTTTGCAGGGATTAGTAGAGCACGTTTTTAGGAGATGCTGACCTAGGCAGAAGAGAAGATGGGAGGGGGGGTTATGCAAGCTGATGGTACCTGTCACTGTCCTGCTTTGTGCTCCTTAGCCGCTGCTGCTTGCAAGCCTGGCTCGCCCCATTCCTTTCTTCAGGCCGTTTAGTGGTGACCAGGATAGGGTCAAGGATGCTGTGGCATCTTTGTCCAGTGTCCTGGGGGTTTGACTCATTCTAGGCTCTTCCCTTCCCCTTCAGTTTCTCCCTCCATCCTATACACAAGGTTTATGTAGAAGATTCTATAAGCTAGACTCTTTTTTTTTTTTTGAACTGGTTTTTAACTGCAGCCTAGACTGGCCTCAGACTCACAGCAGTC